AGGATAACTATCCTTCACAAAGATTCCATATATCTCAATTATACAACTGTTCAGTTGTCCTCCTGAAGTTTGGTCTCCCTACCATGGCAAGCTCCAGGACAAAAGGGGCAGGAGAGGCTTCTTGACGCTTTATTTTGTTCAGGGCTCTCTTTTTATTGGATAATTATAGTTTGGCTTCTCTATCACGGCCAGCACCCGAATTACAGGACCCTAGCGACATCCGCAGAGAAGAGAGCCTGTGAGAACACAGGTGGCACAGCAATCCTGGGACAGGACTTCCCAACTGTCGTGCCACAGATGGGCTGCAGATGCACCGAGACGTTCGCCGTTAGGTGGCCGCAGGGCTTGGAGTTGCCTCTCGTGGGCTGCTAGGCAGCCGCCTCCACTTAACCAGCGCACTGGGCAATAATTACCCTTTTCTTTCAGTGCTATGAAGTAAAAAAAAATGAGTTGGGGAGCACTGTTCTAAGCAATTTGCTAGAAAAATGAGAATATGAATAGTATGTTTCTATGTGAACAGTGTCATTTGGTTTAGGGAAGAGACTAGCAGGTTGTAGCGGAGAATGGGGGTGGGTGCAGCTGAGACTTTTTTCCTGGCTGAAACCACTCCAGCTCTGTTTTCACATTAGACGTCATATCATTCATAGGGTGTCTACATTAGTATCGACCTCTGAAATGTTTTGTTTGTTAATAGTTCTCTACACATGCCAGATACATTCCAGGAGGAATAAAGAGTGGAGGAACAGTCACAAAATAACCAAAAGAAAAATCAGGAAAACATCTGAAGTAGGGTTAAGCACAGAAACAAATCATTAAAAAAAAAAAAAATGCTACAGGGTCGGTTTACTAAAATAAAAGCATCAGTACATTCAAAATTCTAAGAACAAATTAAAAGACAAGGAAATGGAGAGATGTTTGCATATATGAGTTGCAATAATATTCTACAAATAAAAATTATTTTAACATAAAAAGACTTAACATCCCAACAGAAAAATAGTCAAATGCCATCAGAAGGTGACCCGCAAAGAGCAACAAATGCCCCACAAATATATGAAACATCTAGCCACAGAAATAAATGCAAATTAATCAACTTGAGAAAGTATTTTTCACATGAAATGTGAGTGATTTTACTCGGTTCGGGGAGAATTGGCCTCCTACATAAAAGGTGGTGGTGGTGTGAGGTGGTGAGCATTTCTACAGTCAATACATAAAAGTTTTGCTCGTCACACTCTGCCCGTATGTTTTAACTTTCAGGAGTTTCCTCTGAAGAAACTATCAGATGACTTGAAGATGTATGGAAAAGATGTTCATGATAGCTTTATACTGTGATACAAATGAGAATTGAAGTCTACAAAAGTGAGAAAAATAATGGGTTATGGATTATCTTATGATGGAATCCTGGGCACTTGTTAAAATAATGTCTTTGAAGAATATTTAAGGTGTGGAGAATATTGTCCGTGTGCCGCTTAAATTGCATATACATTAGGCACCATTTTCTCTGACAGTAAAAAATAAAAACACCCAAGATGTGGATTCTGCTAAAGGACCGTGGTATAAAGCTAGAACAACCCTAGAGTCAGAGTAAATGAGAACTAGACTTGTCTCTGGAAAGGACCAGCAAACAAACCAGCTGGTCCTCCTTCAAATTGTGGTTTCAGTTCCTGCCACCAGCATGGTCCAAAAAGCTTCAAGCAAAGAGAATTCCAAGTATTCACAGTTGATAGTTCCCCCAGACAGAAGCAAACATCAGTCCCCTGGCAGAAATGGAGTTAAGGCAGGTAGACAGAATTATTTTCTTTTGTAAATTTGACAGTGGTTTTTTAAAGACACCATTGATTCTAAAATTAATTTCCTTATTCAGGTTTTTACTTTTAAGTAAAAAATTGTGTTGAGAGTGAAATGAGTATATTATGTACATCTGGTTAGAGAGGAATGTCCAAAATTTAGCCATGTAGCCTAATTTGTTGGATTACATACGTGTTTTATAAAATTTCTCCATGAACACTTATTACATATATTTAAATGTGTAACTTAATTAGGATTCCCACGATTGTCTTTACTCCATTTTCTTAATTTGCTTATTATACTGTGCTAGTATATTTTGAATCTCTCCAGCCCTTGGTAATGAAGCTCGGACATCGCAGACTTTATAATTTCAGCACTTTGGGAAAGAGCTGTGATTGTTTCGGTTGCAGACCTGTGGGTCGCTGCTAGCAGGTGTATGGGAGGCCTCCCAAACCCCGAGTCCCCGCGCTGAGGGACCGAGGGAGAAGAAGTGAAGAAAGGGAGAGTGGTTAAGAGCGCAGCCTCGGGACTGAGAACTGTGCTTATGTTTTAACTTGGACACATGCTGCTGTGACTTTAGGCAAGTTTGTTCAAGTAGTCTTAAGACTCAGTTTCCTCATTTTTAAAACAATGATGATTGTGCAGTTGAAAGAACTAAATAAACTCATGTAAAATGCATGTCACAACATATTCCTGCTATTTCTAAGTCCGGGTCTGTGAGACCAACTGCTTGCTAATGTGATTTGTTTACATCTCTCTGCTGTTTCTTCATTGTAGTCACCCTTACCAGTGCTCACACCTAAGTGAGACCTTTGAGAGGCTAGAATCTCTCCAGTTGCTTCCTTTTTAAATGACATGTTCCCCATTCCACCAAATGGGAAAAGGGCTGCACTCCTGATTAGTATAACCTTGATGCAGAAACCAGACAGAAGGGGAAACTTTATAGGCCAATCTCACTGAACAAAGATGCAAAAATCTCCAGTGAACTAAAATGGGCCGCAAACCAAATCCTGCAACATATAAGTAGAAATTACAGGTCATGACCAAGTTGGATTTATCCCAGGATTGCAGGATTGGTTTGACATTAGAAAATCAATGTAATTTGTCACATCAACAAAATAAATAAATGTGATCATCTCAGATGTAGTAAAACCATCTGATAAAATTAAAAATTCATAAATCTTTTTATAAAAAAGTAATTCTTAGCAAACTAAGAGTAGAAGGGGACTTTCTAAATTTGATAAAAGATAGTTACCAAAGATCTAAAGTAAACATCATACTAATGGTTTTGAGGGCCCAGAAGTTTTGACATCTTTCTTTATAAAACTGGTGGTGGTTCACTATTAGGTCTTTGTTCTTTTGAACTAATGTATCCTCCCTTCTTATTTGGCTTTGAAACACTATATCTTGTTAGTCTTTCCTGTCTCCTAAAGTATTTTCTTATTCATTTTTCTGAACATTGTGTTCCAAATTTTTTTCCCTTTTATGCTCAGTGCTTCTACTTCAAAAAGGTAAGTTTCTCTTTCTCAGTGTGAGTTACTGAGATTCAGATCCTGACTCTGTGTCCTTGAGAGTGGTGTCAGCCCAGCTGGAATGAACCAGTTACGCGTCACCAATGGAAGACATTAAATCTAGAAAATGATTGTCTGCTCTCAGCCCTGTTTCATTAAAATGTTCCTTCGTGTTTCCCTAAACATTTAGGCTGGTATAACCTTTTAACTGTAAGTGTCTTAGAAATTAATTTTAGGTGACATGCACCAGGTAACAGTGAGTCTGCTGTGCAGTTACACCCTGGAAGATGAGAGGCGCAGTAGAGATGAGCTGAGCAGCAGACCTGAGCCAGAGCCTCTGAGCAGTTGCGTGGGTTGTGGAGAGCGGTTCTCACGCTCAGAGAGCTGGCCGGTCAGCCGTGTTGATCGGCCGCCCATTCTGTTTTTCATTATGAACTGTACGTGGTTTCACATTTCAATAAATCACATTTCAACATACCACGTCTAAAGAAAGCCCATTTTCAGAAATTACAGTGTATTGTATTAAGTAAAACGGCCTGATTACATAAAGTTACTGTTTTTGTTTTCCAGTGCTTTAGTATCACGGGAAAAACAAAATTGCTTTTCTTGGTTTTCCCCAAGGACAGCTGGATATACTTAAAACACTACCTGGTTATAAAACAGAACCTTATCATATATGGAAATTGTTGGAGTAAATGTTGCCCCATTTAATGGAAATGCTTAGATAAGTATGATATTTTCATTCTGTTCAGAAAAATATGTACTATCAAAGTATATCATATTTTAGTAATGGATCAGTGCAGAAAAGTTTTACCTGGAGTAATTTTAAAAGGTATGTCTTAATAAATTTAATATTCCAGTTACCTAAGAGTTATAACCTGATTCAAAAATAACCAGATTTCAAAGAATATAATAAAATATTCACAGTGCTAAAACTGTGTGGAACTTAATCACCGATGACTCAGGAAGCAACTTGGGACCTTGGAGTGCTTCGTTTTATAATGAACCTCACAGGGTAAAACTGAAAATTCTAGTTACTTGAGTTGACTGGTTATTTGGATTATGAGTAAGCCTTTTACTTTGTAAAGGTCATGAAAGCTGTGTCATATATACGCTCATGTATTTTCCCATAATCCTTTTCACCCCTATTATGAGTATTCTAGAAAAGAAAGGTCAAAACTTACCTTCCTCAGCTGGAAAGCAGACATAAAAATTACTCTGGTTACTCCAGACCGGAGTTACTCAAAGAATGCTCAGGGGACCGCCTGTCTTAGAATCTGTCATCTGAGGCCCTCGTAAGAAATGCAGGGTCCCGAATCCCGCACCAGACCTGCTGAGTCACTGTAACAAGCTCTCCAGGTAATTCTGATAATTTGACACCCGCTGCCAGACGGCTTGTGGCCCTGAGATATCAGCCTAGGGAGAATTATCAGGGCAGCACCAAAATAATTCCTCTCGTGAATGTTGATACAGGAAAAAAAAGTGACAAAGATTGAAATGGGTGTGCTACTTCCCACAGAGTACAAGAACAGGAAATAATATGTTCTGCTGTCAGGCCAAAGGAATTTTAGAGGCAAAGTTGGAACTAGTACAAAGCTATTTCACTCATGTTTCTAACACCCTTGCTTGCTTAACGTGTAGATTTTCCAGTGTCCTTTTCCGTATTGATGTGAAGTGACAGGAAGTTAGCTGAGCATCATTTGATTCATTTGGAAAGTGTTTTTATTGCTTTAAGGCTTTGCTTTTACTTCAAACACTAGTAAATGTCTCTTGAGGATTTCTTTCCACTAAATATCTTTGAGTGTTCAGAGCTTTGGTTGTGGTGATACAGTTACATATTTTCATTAATATGAGCCCATTTTGCTTGTAGTTCTAGTTGTAACTTTTACCGCTGGGAACAGAATATAGTGGCTTTTAGAAGGAACAATTTTATTTTTATTTCATTTTATGCCACATAGATTTATTTGGCCTATTTGCTTTTTGTAGGAGAGTTGAAACATCTGTAAATTCTCTCTGAATCATCCCTCTCCTTCCGCTTCAGCCCTACCCTCCCTCCTTCCCCAGTCCAAAGCGGCAGTCACGCAATAGCATTTATTAAGCACTGCTTTCACTATGGGGACTCGCAAAAGAGAATCTAGCCTCCTTTCCAAAGTTCTCTGTTGCTGTAGAGGATTCAGTCAGTATCCAGGTGCTGCCAAGCGTTGCTCCATGTCTCTACTACTCAAGAATCCTCGGGAGAAACAAGATGGTGGCGTCGGTAACGGCTGCACCCGCCGCCTCCCGCAACCACATCAAAATCACAACTAAAATACAAAAGCACCAGCACTCAGAGCCTCCTGAGATCTGGCTGCACCGAAGCCCCACAACCAGGGAGCTGAAGGAGCAACGAGACTGGTAGGAGGGGGGCAGGCGCGGGCGGGTTGGGGCTGAATCCCAGAGACGGGGCCGCGGGCCCACACCCGGTGCCGCTGTTGAAACCTGGGAGGGAATCTCGGCGGTGGGGGTTTCCTGGAGGAGCAAGGGGTCCCAGCCCCACAGCAGGCCCCCAGCCCAGGGCTCCAGGCCAGGAAGAGACGTCCCCCCAACTCCGGGCTGTGAAACGAGCGGGGACTGTCCCTGAGGGTCGAAGAGGCTGCGGGAGCCCCAGCAGCTCCTCTAAAGGGCCCGGCACGGACTCACTCGGACGCTCCCTCTGAGCCCAGCGCCGGGCAGCAGCCGGAAA